AGTATTTTGCATTTACGTAATAGTCCTATACAAAACATTTTGCTCAAAGCTTTTCATGTGACAGTTCAAAACCACTTGCAAATTTACTTAACTATTAATTAAACAATCTATTTATATTGCTTTACTTTAAACACATACAGTTCGACTCACATTAGGATTGAAGTGAGATGTCGTTCAATGCTGCAGTTTTCCTCCATCGAGATGTGAACTGTTCAACAAATTCTAGAACTTTCCCCTCAAACCCCCCTGGAGCTTTACCTTATTAAAGATCATTAATCTGAGTGTGTGTGTGTGTGTGTGTGTGTGTGTGTGTGTGTGTGTGTGTGTGTGTGTGTGTGTGTGTGTGTGTGTGTGTGTGTGTGTGTGTGTGTGTGTGTGTGTGTGTGTGTGTGTGTGTGTGTGTGTGTGTGTGTGTGTGTGTGCGTGTGCGTGCGTGTGTGTGCGTGTGTGTGTGTGTGAGAGAGAGATTAATCCATCCACTTTGCACATACCAGAGACCTCCAACCCCCTTCTGACTTTATGATTTGGTCATTTAGAACCAGGAATAATTTTTAAGCAGTATATTTAAGAAAATAATGCTCAAGTCAATAGGTTACAATTTAGACATTATTGCCTGTAAAACTAATTTCAGAAGGGTCTGGATCATCTCTATGGTTCTAAATCAGATAGAGGACTTATGGTCTGGACATTAGACTCCTTTTTAGTGCATACCAAAACATATTTGTGTACTTTTGTCAATAGAATTAAACGTAAACTTCAAATAGGATGGCAAAGAGGATATGAACAAGTATTATCCAGAAAATATGCACTAAAAAGATGCAGAAGGCAACGACACTACCGTTCAGAAGTTTGAGGGGAGTAAGATTTTTGTAAAGTAAGGCTAATACTTTTTCAGCAAGGATGCTTTTTATTTTTCATATGTGACGATAATAAAGACATTTAAAATGTTAGAAAATAATTAGTTTTCAAATAAATGCTGTTCTTTTAAACTTTCTTCTGCATCAAAGAATACTTTTTAAAAAACAGTTTCCATAAAAATATTGAACAAAACAACTGTTTTCAAAAATGATAATTAGCCTATAACATGTTTTAAGCACCAAAACGCATATAAGTATTTCATGTGACACTAAAGACTGGCTGTTGAAAATTTAGCTATGCCATCAAAGGAATATATTACAATAGAAAACAGTTATTTTAAATTTAAGAACATTTCACATTATTACTGTTTTACTGTATTTTTTATCAAATAAATGCAGCCTTGATGAACTCAAAGACTTTTTTCTTTTTTTTTATCATACCAACCTCAACTTTTTAAAATGGTAATGTAAACTTCTGATTCAAATAACAGATCTGGCTATAAATTTACACAAATTGGTTTCAAAAAAATAATTGCACAAGGATTAGTGTTAAGTTGACCTTTACAAGTCCCTCACTTCTCACCTGCACACTCCTTGTGACCTGAACCTACAGAGGTCACAAAACTCCCACTCATTACACTGAGAGGAACTGATGACTGGAGATAAATGCACATGTGTGACTGTGAATGCATGTGAGTGAAGGGAAAGAGAGAGAGGAGTGTTGATTCAAAAAAGAGGCCCTTTTAGTATATTAGCTGTGATACACAGCTGCATTCTGGGCAACAGAAATCTGTAGCGGAAAAGGGGCCCAAGCTCACTACACAAAGCTGTGTGTGTGAGGGTGTATGTGCACGCACGCCGTAGTTCTGTGAAACTCCAAATAAGGTACTGTGCGGCAGCGTCAAACCTAGCTGGCCCCGAACAGGAAACGTTCAGACAGGAAGTGATGTAAGCACAGTCTAAGCACAGAAACCTTGAGTCATTATCGGAAAGAGACACTTGGACTTGGCAGGAGTCTAAAACAACGGCCAAAAAAAAGTTCTGACTCATTTTGCAGTCCAATATGATTCTATACGCAGATCCAAAAACCTCTAAAAATGTATCCGATGTCCCCAATGACAGGAGAAACACATTTACCTATACTAGACTGATTTCCGTTCTCATATAAATCCATCTATTCCAGAAAATAGTATTTAGTGTGCAGTAGCCTGCCACACAACTACACCGACACTCTTCATTATAGTGTCATGTCCCTAATCTGTTCTTTCAGCCTGAACCCTTCTGATATTACATCCGGTTAACGTCTATATTCACACCCAACGGAGTTTCCCTTCACTCCGAACATGACAGATAAAAAAGGAAACTAACTATAAGCTACAGACGACATGTAAGCTATTTGTGTAAGAATGTGATTGAGCTATTTTGAGAAAACAATCTTTAAATTAAATTGAGCTTAACCACAATTTCAGCAATCAAATGACTAATAACTTGCATTAAAATAACAAACATTACTTCTTACAGTATATAATGTATACAATGCTTCACACACGCATTAACGTCTCATGAATCTTTAAATCATACATTCTCATGTATAAACTACTAATCTGTTGAGCAATATATTCCCCCAGTTTCACAGACAAGGCTTAGGCCTAGTCCAGACTAAAATGCATGCTTGAGCAGTTTTAACCGAAAGCAACTTGCACTGACATATCTTAAAATATGTCAGTGCCATTGTATTGTGTCAAGATGCACACCAGTAATGTCTTCTTTTTTTTCTAAGGAACATTTATAAAAGCTACTTAAATGTCCTAATTGAACTAAGGCTAATCCTGGCTTAATCTAAGCCCTGTCTGTGAAAACAGGCCATAACACTACATAATAACCTTCATCAACTATCTAATGTTTTAATGATTAAAACACTCAGATTTCTGTGTGGATGCACAAAAAGGGCCAAGAATCTAATTCTGTTTCAATTCATTAGTCTGATTAAAAAGATTATTGTTGCCATTTGGGCATTTATCTGGTACTTTTCAAAGAATAGTATGGTACAAGCCCAAGACCATAGCACATGTTCATGGTACTTTTTTGACAGTGGTTATTTTGAATATTTGTAATATATGATTCATGTAATACTTGTCTATAACTAACTACTGACACTCAAACACTGAAATATATTTCACAGAGGGGAAAAATTCTAAATGCTAAAAACTTGATGTGTTTCTATCCTACTGTTGGTCTGTGGTCTTAAATAAAATCTTTACCTAAACAATGATTCATTAATTGTGAGGTGTAACCCCTCAAAAAAGGGACTCTAGCCAAAAAAGGCAGTTTTCTTCTCTATTTGAGTGAGCACCACGCCTTGGCATGGAAAATTGTCTAAGATTGCGCAATGAGCTCGTGTGGTCCTCTCCCCTGACAGACGAGCTCCAAAAATGTCGGACCAGCCACTTCTGACATGCCTCATATTTCTAGTCCCAAATCACTTATCAAGCAGATCAAGAACGTGCCCTTACATGGCAGGACAGAGGCTTTAATATCACCATGAACTGATTTTGTTAATTCACCACGAATTCAGATTTTTTTATGGAATATTTCAGTATTTATTATAAATGTTTTATCCATGTACATCATTTTTAAATTCGTGTGCCCTCATATTCTTTAATAAAAATAATTTGCCCTCTCTCATGCAGCGAGATCTCTTCTCTTAGTTTGGTGACGTGTTTATTGGTGCGAAGCAACTTGTCAATCACATGAGATCGCTTCAATATCAAACTACAACTTCTCAACGATCCAATCATCAACCATTATTTAAAACGACTGTTTCATGTCGACTTTAAAATGGCATCCTGTCCTTGTCTTGCGCCGGTAAACACGTCATCAGAGAAGAGATGAAGTTGCAATATATTACGAGCAATAACAAAAAAGAATTATGTGCACGGATAAATCATGTATTTATAATAAGTAGGCTACTGCAAAATTGTCCATTTTGATTTCATGATTGAATTTAAAATGAAGTGACCATGTGAATCGGTTTAAAGGAATCTTTTAAGTGAAGGAATTGTTCTCATTCACTTCGGTTCATTCAGTTCGGTTTTCTTGCATGCTTGACTGGTTCTAGAAAACAGAACAATATAGGCCAACAAATACTTGGTTTAACCACGTGGTTACGGTTAAAGAAGGCTGACCACAAATCATAAATGACCACAGAAGTTGATTAAACATTTTTTTGATCATTTAAGCCTGCCCCTTCGTTGGACTGACCCTTCCCTGAACGAGTCTTAACAAAGTATATCTGTTTGTTATCATTTGTAGATTAAATACTTAATGGAGCTTTAATCTCTTTCCTGAATCTCTTATTAGATGTGTAGACACTCAAATTTTAATAAAACATAATACGACTTTAATGAATCGGTTAAACTGTAACACTCGTAACACAAAGACGTTCTTGTTGCCACCTACTGGCGTAATGATGCATCTTAAATAGTAAGTGAACGAATCTGAAAAATCTTTCTGTCTGTGAATGCATTCAAAAGATTCGATTGACTGGGATGTGGGATGAATCAAAATCCTCATCACCGCTGGACGCGGTCTATTCAAAGAAACTTTGATGGAAAGCCAATCGGATTTGGGGAGAGAGGAGGGAGGGAGAGAGGGGGTTACAGGTTGTCACCGAGTAACGGTTCAGCCCCTATACAACACAAAACGCCACTGCTAGAGAGAAGTCTGTTAGAATAAAATGGTTTAGAAAAAAACATACTAACTTCACCGGTCTAAACGATTTCTTATAAAATGCAACGTACAGCGAAAGTATTAGAGAAATCGCCTTTTTAATTTGCAACATAGCGATTTATTCTTCAGTGCGCTCGGATCGGATGAACGACCGTCATTGTCCAAATAATAAATTCTTGCTATATATAGTGCACTGCGTATGGCCTACTGTTCAGCCGCGGGAACCGGCTGACAATAAAGCCAGCAAGAGAAAGACCATCCTCGCCCCTTTCGAGCGCCTACGCGTCGCTACTGTCTCCTGTTTCACCGAAAATGCGCAGCTTTTTAAAAAACACTGTGAAATCTCTTCTTCTCAGTTTTGTTTGCTACAATACGAACTCAAAACAATGGCTTCCATTTCTCATGAGTACTCACCGTTTTCGGCATTTTGTCTGTTTTTTTTCGTTTGTCTCTTCTCTCGCGGATGTGTCACAAACTGAACTGATAAAATGAAGTCAGCAAAAAGCCAAACTTTTTCCCATCGGCTGATGTCCACGCGCAAGAGTGAACAACCGTCACCGCCCGTGTGGAAAAGCTTCTCTTGAAATCCGTTCCAGATCCCGAAGACAAAGTTACACTTTTCACTGCGTCTTTGTCGCTCAGAGAAGTACTGTGGTGGTGGTCCTAGAGTCGATTTCCTGCTAACGGAACTGAGTTTTGAAAACCACACCCAGCCCAGCCGCTGAAGGCACAGCAAAGCGCGTTTGACTAAACTCCGCCCGGATTCGCACAGGCCCCGTTATACGAGATACACGCTCACGCAGCGCTGCTGCTTTGTGTGGCAGAGAGAGAGAGACGCCAGGGCTCGAACGCGCGCGCTCTGGGAATGCGAGGTGGGGGTATCCCACACAATTCCAACAGTGACGTAATTTTCCCCAGAAATTCCAAGCTCGTCTTGGCTTTCTCTGTTGGATGGCAGAGTTTGGGACGGGAAATGCGTTTCACTTTAGGAACAGCTAGACTTCATATGGAGAAATTACTTAATCGTGCTAACCTTCTCAAAGCTGAAAAAACCCCTACATTTTTGAGAAATCTTTACACACTAAAGAAGTGAGACTCTTCGTGAACATCACTTACTTATATATGTATATTGTACTGGAAAAAAATGTTTAGCAGACTTGAACTTTAGAATGAGTAGAATTATACTAGGGGAAAACGTTGGCTTTCTTTATTATGACTATTGGTTATTTTAAAATATCTTTCTTTGACTTTTAAAGCCTCATGGTTTTAGACAATTTTGTAATGTAATTTTATTAAATTACCTTTTCAAACACATGCCCAAAAATACCCCAATTTTATCTAGATGATGTCATATTCAATATTTAAATGAAACATGATACCTAAATTAGGTATCGATAAATTGTAAAACATTATCTCCTATAGATACTCATTGGAGTATCATACAACATACTTGTGTCCCGTACAAAATGTATTGTGGTGGTAATGTGTTATGTAATACTGTGGTACTTTGATACAATGGTACTAAATGATTACTCGTGTACCATGCAGGTCCAAAAATAGTAGCATGTTACTTTTTGTTCGTACTGAATGTTAATTCAGTGTTTTATGAAAAAGAGTTCTAACTAATCTTAGAATCTCTCCGTTTCAATGTGTGATATCAAAATATGACTGGGTTTTATCAGAAGAGCTGGAAGTTTAATGTGACTGCTTTGACTGAAACTTATATCTATCTGAAAATGGCTGATCGTGATCATCAGCATTGTAATAATACTGAATAATTTGGATTGACCAAGAGTTTGAGTAAACTGTTCTTCATTGCCATAAACTACACCTATAGCAATCATTTTTAATGCAATTAACATTACAATTCCCAGCTCTCTTTTGAACCCTCTGTTTTTGTAGAATTCTGGTTGGTACGCACGGAACCATTGTTCAACATTTTGTTCAAGGGGAACATTCAACCTGCCGCACCGCTGGCGGGGCTTTAGGACCGTGGTTTGTTCAGGATACATTAGATTTACATGAATCGTATTTCATTTTTTCCCGACTCTAGCTGCACATGCTTATTTATCCGCGGTGGGTCCATATACTACATCATTTGAAAGCATACAGATCTGACGATGAAGAAGAAGACGGCGGGGAAGACGCGTCACGTCGTGGCCTGGATGAACAAAGCAGAGTACGAGCATGTGATGGAGTATTTGTACTCTAAAGAGCCCGCGCTGCAGAAACACGCGCTGCACAGGATCTCCGCGTGGAAGGGCAGGTAACGTCACGGTGGTCAAGGACGGATCTGATGTTTTGAGTACAGTGTTGGAGATCACGCGGGTCACGTGACATCTGATGTATTGTCTTTAGTATTATGATTTTCTTGCTCTGCGGATGTGCTAAAATTCGGTTAAATTCTTCTTGAAATAGTGTCAAAATAAAATAAATTGTGAGGGTCTTAAAATAGATCATATTGACTTTATCCGAATTCTGATGGATTTTAAACTGCTTAGACTAGTGTAACAAGTTAGACATCTATTTTTTTTTCTTAAAGACTGTTCATAGCTTCTTCTTTTAAAATAAGTTACATAAAAACGTAGTTTAGCCTAATTTGAAACCGGTAAGACTGACTGCCCCTGACTAACTGCTACTGGGTCACACTAGAACTTAAGACACTGTCTTAACATAATGGCTATGTTTATGCAACCGGCCCCGGGTCATAAATTGTAATCAGTTACATAGGTAGATTGGTCTAATTTGAATTAAAAAAGTAAGACTGACCAACTAGCTGTCATACTAGTTCTTAAAGGGATAATTTAATAAATTCTCCCAAAAATGAAAATTCTGTCGTTAATTACTCTCCCTCCCACAAACCTGTAACTTTCGTTCATCTTCGGAACACAAATGAAGATCTTTTTTGATGAAAAACGCAACTACCACTTTGATGCTTCAAAAAGTTCATAAAGTGATCATAACACTTATCCATGTGGTTTAGTCAACATCTTCTTAAAGGGGTCATATAATGCCATTTTCATACAAGTTAATTTGATTCTTTAGGGTCTAAATGAAAAGTTTGTAATATACTTTCATTAAAATTTCTCATTAGTATTGTAAGTAAACACTAATTTTACCTGGTCAAAAACAGCTCTGTTTTCAGCATGCCGTTTCAGTGCATATGCCTTTAAATGATAATGAGCTTCGCTCACTCCGCCCTCAACGCACGTGGAGTGTTGCCTTGACAACAGTTGAGGGTATATTTTGGAGAGAGAATGGCAGCGGGAGTCTCTGAGGACACATCTGTGTAACCGTATCAGTTTGAACCGGAGTCGGACCCGGGAACAAGATGACGGCCCCAAAGAAGTTCGACAATTAAGGCTCGAACAGGACGTTTCTGAATGGTTGGTTAACATAATGTCACTTTGATCTATCTTTGTTTACTGGCAGGGTAGAGTAACTTAGTGAGATGTACAAACTATGTGTTACTGATGTAAGTTACTCAGTTTGTAATAACACAATAACCATAACGCGTTGTTCATTATAAATGTGGGATTATGAATTATATTGAGAACGTCGTATAGAAAACATGCCGTAATGTACCCTGAGTGTAAACCTTAGCCGCATTCATCGTGAAGCGTGCAAGCGATTTGCAAAGATTAATATAAAATATAAAATTTTACACTCACTTCTTCTGGAGGTGCAGCAGCAGGGACATGAATAGTTGGTACCGATTCTTTTTTCAGGAGCAGCTTCTTAGCAAAACCAGCTTTATACTGATCCTCGTTTATAAAGCAGTCTGGTGAGAAAAGATTCACGAATCGCGCAAACATGAAAGCATTGACGTTGATCGTGGGGAATATTCCCTTCGAAAACAAAACTCAGCCACTGTGTCTTAAGCGTTTCGGATTTAGGAACATCAAAATGACTGTGTTCGTTATTACACCCAAGAACAGAACACCACAATCCCTTATACGCCATTCTGCTCCAGCGTATCAACAATGACGGACTATGATGACAGCTCGCTCAGGGCGGCGATGTGTTGAAACGCTGCTGTCAATCAACAATCGTGGGAGGGGCGTCCGTTTTATTGACGTCACAAAAACGAACGGCTCAATTTGACGCAGGGGAAAACATATGAGGAGTTTAAAACAAAAACACTGGATAGATTTTTATCATTATATGATGGTTGTGTAACTTGTGTACAGGCACTGCCAACACACATTTCAGTACAATCAACTTGAAAAAGTCCATGTACCATTATATGACCCCTTTAAGAGACAAGATCGTGTTGTTATATTATTATTTTTTATTAATATTATTATTATTATTATTTATTTTAGACCCATGGGTCCATATAAAAAAAAGAAGAAAATACATACAAACATAATTTTACAAACAACAGACACATTTAAAAAAACGTACAAGCTTTCATTAATTCCACTGCTTCCAAAAACAGGAAAAATACCTTGTATCACTTAATGTAATATTATTTAAGACCATTATGATACTATTTTTTGAATCACTCAACCGACACGTGAAGTTGTACATATACTTCCATAATAAAGCATGCAAAGTGGGTACACTGTTAGATACAAAGATTTGGCTTGCACTTGTCCACCTTGGGACCTTAAGCAAAATTCTTAGCGCATCATTATATGCCACCTGGAGCTTTTTCATTTTAGCTTTAGTATATTTACACCACAAGTGGGCTGTATAAAGAGAAGTACAGTATCCCCTAAATAGAGCTATTTTAACATCATCTGTACACATATAAAATTTACGAGCCAACATATTAGCTTGCCCATACAACTTATAGCACTGGCGCTGCACATCATCGTCATCATTTAAATAATTTCTAATAATGTGACCCAAGTATTTAACTTTAGTTACCACATTTAAAACTTGGTCATCTATATAGAAAGAAGGAAAATTTTACTTGAGGTTCTCTTTGGTTTTAACAATCATGACCACACTCTTTTAAATTAAATTTAATAGCATGCTGCCCACCATAACTTGAACATACTCGAAGCAGCTGTTGTAATCCTGCACTATAAGGAGACATAATAACTAAATCATCAGCATACATCAGATGGTTAATAAGACTATCACCTATTACACATCCAGTTAGCATGACTTCGTCATACTCATATTCTAGTCAGAATGTGAGTCTGATACTGCTCCATAGGGCTTTGATTATGAGGTGTGTCTTAACCGAACCAGGAAAAAAAAACCTCTGCACTCAATTCAATTGGATAGACCTACAACCAATCAGAGCAACGCAGTAAGTCAGCTACATAGTTGCATAGCGTAGTTTCAACAGAACTCAACTGCACGCACGCTGGAAGAAGTAGTAAAATAATGAGTGTTGCTTCTTTTACTTGGTCCTCCATGAGTGCGAATGTACGACCAAAGGAGAAACCACAACGACCACAGGGTTTTCATTGCGTCCCATCTTCTTAGCGGCCATCGGAGCCAGCTGATAAAATAAACTTTTGCCGAATCCCGCAGGAAGGACGGCTAACACATCTTTCCGATCGACAAATGCCTTGATTGCAGTTCTCTGTTCGTCTTTTAAAATGAATGCGCTGTCGATTTCTTTTACAATAGACGCAATAGCGGAATCTATACATCTCAATTCTCCAGCTGCAGTCATCTCTGAGGGAAACCAGTTCAACCCAAGCGCTCTTTGATAACGTGATGATTACGTAACTGCAGATCATCTGTCCATCATCGTATAAAGCCCGCCCTGGCAATTTGATTGGCCCGACTAATTCTGAACCGATCATAATTACTCCTCAATGGATCGAGTCC